AAAGGCTGAACTCTGAGGACTGCAATTCAAAGCCAGCCCATGCAGGAATGTCTGTGAGACTCTTATTTCCAATTGACTACCAGAAAAAGGCAGAAGTAAAGCTGCGGCTCAAGTGGTAGAGCATTAACCTTGAGCAAAAAAGCTCAGAGGCCATGCTTAGAACCTGAGTTCAAGCCCTGGAACTGGCAATAATAATAATAATAATAATGTTTCTCCTCTCTTCATCTTAACTCTGTGAATGACACCTTTGGCCCCTTGCTGCCTGTGTCAGCCAAGTCATCTTAGCTCCAAGCATGGGCACCAAGTCCTGACTATTCTATTTCCTTAATAGCTCCAATCTGTGGCTCCTCCCTGTAGTCACTGTCCTCATTCAGCCTGTCATCATCATCATCATCATCATCATCATTGTCACAGACTTCTAACTGGCTTCCCCAGTCCCTATATCAAATTCCTACATCATTCTTATTTTCCTTGTAAAACAAAGTAAGTGTCTAATCTTGTTTTCCCTCATTAATATTGACTGACCCTCTACTATGTGTGAGTCTTTGCCATCGTATGGGCATGCTTACTTGGGTTATAGCAGCAAACAAAGCAGAAGTCTCAGGCTGAGAGTGTGGCTCAAGTGGTAGAGCACTGGCCTATTGAGCACAAGGCCCTGAGTTCAAACAAAACAAAACAAAACTCAGAAATCTCACTGTCTGGAGTTGCAGAATAGTCTAGAGTAAGGGAAAATGTCAACATTCAGTCGTCTGATATTTTCAAAGTTGACAAATGCTACGGAAAAAAAAAGTCAAGTAAGAGGTTGTGCAAATCTAACACACATGCCCATGGGTGTACAGTTTTCAAAAGGGCAGCCAATATGGGCTCATTAGAGGTTGACAGATGATCAAGGGAGGTAGGAAGTAAGCTCTCCTGTGGGATGAGCATTTTTACAGAAAGAAAAGATACAGCCAGGTGGCTCATGCCTGTAATTCTAGCTACTCTGGAAGCTGAGGTCTGAGGATCTGGTTCAAAGCCAGCCCAGGCAAGAAAGTCCATGAGACTCATCTCCAATAAACCACTCAGAAAACCAGAAGTGCCACTGTGGC